GGATTATCGGACTTCTACTGTACTTGGAAAGCTGAGAAAGGTGGAGTCATGAAGATAAAAAGAACAGTAACCAAAAGGCGTTTTTTGTTTTTCTAATACCTAAGCTGAATAAATTTAAGGGTTAGTAGTATTAGTAGAAGCAGTGTTCCATGGAGACAGCTTCTGGCCACGGTTATGAACCAAACAGGAGTTTTTACTATCTCCACGGAATATATTTACTAATTTCCAAACACAACACTAAGTACGGGTGGATCGGCAATTCAGACAGTGTCTAAATTTTAAATAACCAGAAGTATACTAAGACAGTTCCTAGAAATGTACGAGAATTTCACGCAAAAAAAGAATGTACTAACATAACTAACAGTTTACTTATAAGTATATCTCTATGAACAAAGTTGACGGGAAACGGAGGCGCCATCATTCTACCAAGAATTAGGCGGTATTGTATCGCGTCCCCGCATATCTAGCATTAGGAGATACTTAAAATAACATTGTAAAATTGTAGCCATTGTGGCTCAGGATATAATTATATGTTTTACATAATTACTATATTATTTTAGACATTCAAATTACTTTACATCAGAATATATAGTACACATTACAAATACACTTTACAAAGACAGCGCATTCTAGACCTTACAGGTATTTACAAACATATATTGCGAGACATTCAAATTAGTAGTATAGAGAGTTGAACTTCTAGAAACAAACTGAGCAAATATTAAATTCTTACTTCAGGCATTCTTCCTATTAGACCCCTTACCCCAAAAAAGTAGGCAGCTGGTAAGTGGGCAGATGATAAGATAATGGTCTGGAGAACCAATTCCTTCATAGACGCAGAAGTCGCTGTAGCTGAAGCCCGTGTCTATTAAAATATTCGGGAAAGAGACCATATCCTGTAATAAACCTTGTTACTTGTGTGAAAGTGATGTTACGTTTGTCGTCTAATGTGATCTAGTAGTATGTGGACGGCCTTGTTTACATTCAACCCACTCTGATTGCCATTTGATTTGTGCCTTGAGTTTCAGTTATTTCTTCGAGTATAAGCGTAGCCAAAGCAGTGCTTTAATTGCGTCGGAGCCCACCGGAGCCCGCCTCCAGTACTTCTCAAATTTTAAGATAAATTACAATTTTAGCCGGAGCGCACCGGAGCCCTAAGTAAGATGAACTTCGGTACTTCTTTTTACAAAACTAAACCATAATTTAAAGGGAAACAAATTTAGAATTCCTGACGTTTTAGTTTAACAATAAGCAGACCTTGCAATACTCTATTTCCCTAGAAATACGAACTCATGAGAACATGAGACGTTCAAGTAAAGTCCCTTCACTCACATGCGAAAATCTTTCACTTTAAGAAAGGCAATAAATTTGGGGGATGTTTAGAAACGCGTAAATTTCTCGCCATGCCATCGTTTCTAGTGTATTATTATCGATGCTTACAGTTAGTTATCCTCGCAGGAAGGAAACTTTGTGTTCTTAAATGCGCGTTAAGTGAAAGCGAGTACAATAAGAGTGAAATACTGAGATAAACTGCACAAGCACGTTCTATACATCGTCTTCCCACAGTATCCACTAATTGGGGGGTAGCGTAATCAGCAACTTTACGTTCATCCTTAGGAGTCAGACTCAGAACTCATTTTCCCTGACATACATCTGTTTGATGGCTATAATTATATCAGCAGAGAGCTGAGGTCAAAGACAACGTTCTCTCTTACCAAGAACCCTCATTTTTTATTTCCACCCACTCATACCCTCATTCTGTTTCACCCTGGAATTTTCATCAGCTATATACTTTAAGTACTTTAAGTATATTTGATTCTTGTGATGATAAAAAGACTCCTCCTATGATCAGAACTTAAATTGGGCCGGAGCCCACCGGATATTGGCTCCGGTGCTTCTTAGTTTTTGTAATAGTTCATAATTCTAGCCGGAACGCACCGGAACCCTGAATAAGAAGGCTGCGGCATTTCTTTTATGTAACTGAATAACAATTTCAGTAGAAATTTTATCTCGAAAATTTTATTTTAACAATAAAATTATATTAAAAATCGCTTATTAAATTTCAATTTATCTCTTTACATTTTTATTTAATTTTAATAATTTAATTACTTAATAATTATCAGTTAAATTATAATCAATTAATTATCTAGTAATTATCAATTAAATTATGGTTAATTAATTATATAATAATTATTTATTAAATAACAATTTATAAACATGAATGAAATAGCTATTAATTAATTTGATAATAATTAACTATTTAATTTTAAAATTATTCATGAGTTTAATAGTCATTTTATTTATTTATATATTCTTGTTCCTCTTTGCTGACGGTCTTCCATAGGGCTCCGGCACTTCTAATCTTAGAAATTAAGCCCTGGGCCAAAGTGCTGGTTTGGGATAATGAATACTTCTTGATGGCAATCCGCCTTGGCTAATCGGTAGACAGTTTCTTTTCCACACCACCCAGCATGCGCTTTAACCAAGAAAGGGTGATGTTAAGATGTCGACGCCTCCGTAAGTCTCTGTGGATTTAGGAAACTATAGGAGATGTATGGTGATGTTTGAGTATGGGCAAAAGTACCGACATGCTGTCTCTGTGGATGGTGATGCCGTGTGGGTTTCGCTGAGTGATGTACTGGATAAGTCTGGAACTGCTTCTTCCTGAAACACTGTGTTATTATAGGTTAGTTACTTTTTCTATAGATGTAAGGTTTCTTCTACACGCTGAACAACTCTTGAACTTCCAACATTGTCTTCCTTATGTGAGCCATTTGTATGTAGTCGGAGTATTCTTGCTGAGAGTTATTATAATGATCCAGATGTATGTTTTACACCTTGCCCTTTAAACAGAGTCGTAGCTAGGGTTTTCAGCGCCCAGGGGCAACTGAAGATTTCGCGCCCCCTACTGCTTGCCAAGAATGGAAAACATTTAATTCTAAAATGTCGTAACATCAATTTGGCGCCCCTTGGATTCTGCGCTCGGGGACAGATGTCCCCCTTTCCCCCCCTCTAGCTACGCCCCTGCCTTTAAATGCTGGGTGAAATTGTAACGTCGTCTCTGGCATTTCATATCTGTTTGTATATTGCCACTCATTGAAGAAGCTTCTTTGGGAGTGAAAAGATGGAATACTGATTGGATTATTGCGTCTTGCTCAACATAAATATGCAGTAGTATTAGATCTTCCAGGACATTAATTGATGCAGTTACTTTTGTGAGAAATGTCGTTATGATGTTTAGTGCAAATGGGCGTTGGCCGCTGAGAATATGTTGTACTTTTCTCCCTTGTATCAGCTGGGCCCAGAGTAGAGCAACATAAGTAACCAGCCTTTCTATGGAAGTTGAGTAGATGGTCATTTGAATGTGCGAACTTAGTCCCCAATTGTTTACTTGTAACTGTCGGGGTTTTTTGAGCAATGTGGCTAGTACTTTGCTCGAGTTCCTTAATGTGGGGAAACAAAGTCAATCTTCCATTCCACGTAAGGACTAGATATTTGAATTTTTCAAGCTTTTAATTTTGCTATTATTAGCTGAATATAGTCGTTCGTACTTGAAATATACACTGCACAGGGGGAAAAAAAAAAGAACAGTTCTATGTCTCCCGTTCTACTGGGTCCATTGACGAAATTCAACTTGCGTTTTTCATGTCTCGAAAGCGCGACTTAGGATATGTAGTAGATTTATATAATGCATTTTTCTAACATAGGTATTTTGACACAAAATCAGACTTTTTCTGTGAAAAAAAAAAAAAAAAATCGCACGAGTCGATTTTCAAAAATTAGCTTTCAAAGTTTAGCTTATCAATGTTAATTGATTTTGATAGATATTTATTAGTATCTCCTTTTTTTTTATTAAACTTAACTTGATTCCTTCTTTCAGAATTCGAAATTTAGGTTTAATTCAAATATAATTCGCACATTCTTTTATCATCCAACTTTGTGTCAAATACATGTGTTAGAATGATGCCATATATAAATATAATATATAGCCTAAGTCGCGCTTTCGATACATGAAAAACGCAATTTGAATTTGGCCCAGTAGAACGGAAGATTTGGTCCAGTAGAACGGAACTGTCCTTTTTTTTTGCGCAGTGTACTTAATAAAGCTAGTGTCCGTTTGCGCATGCATTAAATTTTCAGTTCAAGACAGTTGTTTTTAAGTATGAAAATACGCTGTACAGTCTGTGGAATAATGTCTGCACAGTCTGTGGAAGCAATAGGTGATCTTAATGTCTAGACAAGTTGAAATTTGCATTTATTTGCTTTCGACCCTACTAGAACACTTTTGACTAAATTAATCATTATTAAGTTGTCTAGGGTGCGTTAATTAAATGCTACTGAATTGTCTTGTGTAAATATTACTTGAAATTATGGAAATGCCCTGAACATGTGAATTAGGCTTCATACTTATTCCATGAACTACGAAAGTTTAGAAATTTTTCTTTTGAAAGCTGCAGAAATTCTAAAAGAAAATTATGAAAAAATACAGAAAAATGTACATCGAAGATATCTACAAATCCCGTTATATCCGATTTTCGCATATTTGGAATTTCGCTGTATTCGTATAAAATAACACTGGAGGAGAAAGTTCGTTCGTTATATCCGAGGGCTCGTTACAAATCGTTTTTCCTATAGTAGGTTTTCCTGCATTATTTCTTAACATGTATGGAATTTGCTAACGCGCTTATTTGGAAGCATAAAATGTATTTGCTTTATTGGATAATGACAAAGCACACTAGGACTATCTATCTATTCGAAGCTTAGAGCAATTATTCTAAGAGATTAAAAACAAAATTGAGTGCCCACCTACTTTATCAATCAGAACAATTTTGTTCGAATTTACATTTAAATAATGGCAACAATGATTTTACATTTAGTTCTTTATTCTTCTTCTTGTTCGTTAGTAAAGTTTATTTGAGTCGGAGCATAAGGCGCAGAAGGGAAGCCAAGCTTCAAGAAGAAGAAGTAGAAGAAGTAAAGTTTCTGATTCCTCATTGAAATATTTAGTTAGTTCGCAAAAGATTGTTTATGTGTTGGAGATTTGTGTAGTTTAATAGATATTGTGGTCACAATGTTGACCATAGCAATGATAAGCACATTTCTCAATTATTTACTGGTTGCTGATCTGACAGGCAGCACTGGTATGCAGTTCTTTTTTTTTGTAGTTAATATTAATTCGTGCCTAAATGTCTACTAATTTTATTTTCAGATATTCTTGGGCTGTTTGAGATTATTCGCTTATAGTTTTCTACTTTTATAATAAATGTGAAGACGACATATTAAAATTTTTAAATTTCAGAGCTTGCTCCGGGGGGATATCTAAGAATATATTAAGTAATAAATTAATCATATTTAAAAAGTTATTAGGTTTATAATATTCCTTTTTGTTACTAGTATATATTATGTATGTATATAATATTAATCCTTAGATACAGGTCCATCTGTAAGTAGTTAATAAATATAAGTTAAAAAGTTTATTGTATGTTAAATCCTTGCTATTCTGTGCAGTAAAATAATTATTATATATAAGTATCCTATACTTTATAAATAATGAAGAAAATCATTAAAAATTAAGGCTCTAGTGTAGAATTGGGTGCCCCTTCGATTAGCGACAATTTTTTGTAAAATTTTGGCAATGAAATCTCATTTCTGGTTACCATGATAGTTTAACTTTGCTTTAGCCTCCTGATTTTTTTAAAATAAAAATAGATTGATGTGTACATGGTCAAATTTAAAGCAGTGCGCAATGCCTAGTTTGTGCAATTCTGGGATTTTTTTTTAAGTGAAAACAGATCGATGTGTACATGGACACAGAGTTTATGCAATTCTTTGACTTCTTATTTTGGTTTTGTGTAGCGGCCATCTTTAAATTGTGTCTTCCTGGCGCCGATCTTGGCGTCAAAAAAGAATCGCCAAAAAACAAGGGGCACCCAATTGTAAACGTTTACCAAAATTAACAATAAAGGTATAATAATGATTATGTAATTTATCATAATCTTATAAAATTATAACTAATATTAATTTTTTTGAATCGTATAACATGATGATTAATGCTACATAAGCTTTAAATACGAAAGCTATCTCAACGGAATGAAGTATTCAATTTTCTATTTATAAATACTGTTTAAATTGTAAGCATAATTCTTGCTTAAAAATATGTTAACTGTAATTTTTCGAAAAATGTACCTAATTAAGAAAAAAAAAATATTTTGTGTCTAGAACGTGAAGCATTTATTTAGAATGAGAATTTTAGCTTTTAAATTAAAACTTTATGTGAATTGGAATTCTATATTGGTATCTGATGGTTCTGTACTGGCGTATGTGAACTCAGTTTTTGGAGTATGTTAACTCGGGTTTTGGTGTACGTTAGCTCAGATTTTGGTGTATGTTAACTCAGTTTTATTAATTCAAAGTTCAAAATTTATAAAACCATCAGTTTAAAAAGTCAAGTTCTTTTTTAACTCTAAATTTTGATCTTGTAGTTTTACGCCATGTTTTTATTCATTTGCAAATGAGATTATTTTGTGCATTTCTATATGAGTTTGATTCTTTAATTTAACAGCGCGAGTTTGAATACATTCGCACACACTAGCAGACTATTTATGATGTACGCGGTTTTGGGCGTCTTTGATTGCGCAGTATTTTAAATATACTATATTTTTTACAATATTTTGATCTGTTTTTATCATCTGGAGCTATTCTTTCACATTATGCGCAGTATTTCAATAGAAAAGCAATAAATTTTTCCATTGTTTAAATTGTCTCAAGGTCAACATAGGGGGGGGGGAGGGAATGACAAGCTGAAGAGAGTAACGTGAATATCAGCTAAAATATGTCACCTGAAGTATATGTATTTAAGTGCGTGGCTTTTAGAATATTAAAATGCCTTCCAATAACGCATTTCGCAGCAATAAAAAGTCTGTTACGAGTTTTATGACAGATCACGAAGCCTATCTGCCAAACAGTTAAAATGTTAGCGAATTCTCGTGCAAGTAGACTATTTTTAAGCTATAATCCGTGAATTTAAAGCGTATAGCGTTACAAACTATTATACATAAAAACTCAAATACTAATGGATTTAATTCTTATTGCAGCGTGTACTTTTGAGTAGAATTTCACCAAGAGTCTAAAGTTATCAAAATATTGTAAATATCTGGAATTAAATTTCAATGATTTTTGCAATTTTTGATTGAAAATACCGACATATTTAAGATGGCAGTTTAATCCTAGTATACGGTACACATGGGATTTGGCGACATTATGATGAGCAGTTAACGCGGTATTTATAATGAGCAGTAAACAAGTCATTTTGGTGTTGGCGACAATTTTCAAAATCGCACAAATGCCTTACCGTATACTAGGATTTTACCAAGAAGGCTATTTAATATTTTTAAATAAGTACGGTTAAAAGCCAGCCGTTTTTTTAATTTATGAGGACCAGCAGTTTGCTCTGTTACCGCCTTTTAATTCCAGAAGGCTTTTTTAACCTTCACGCAAGTAATTGTGTACAACCAGAAACACCATAGTAACCATAGTAAAGTAGTGATACTCCTCCCTCTTGTGTGTGAGGGGAAAGCTCTCTCTAGCGAATGACTGCCGCAGGGGATGATTCAGTGAGGGTTTGATGAACAGCGACTGGATGACTGCACGATTACCATAGGCGTGTATTCATTGATATTATATGCCAGAGCTGCATGGTATCTTGCAGACTGCATCTTTGACATTTAAAGATTCAGTGTATACATACGTATATATATATATACATGCGTAAATATTAAATTTGATACATCTATACGAGTATTCGTATTTGTGGACAAGAAGTGCTTCCTTGGATTACCGCTGTTGATGATAACAGAAACCCGCTACATGTAGCTAGGCTAGTCAGGTCCAGGGACCACTGAAGATTTCGTGCCATCTCCTATTTGCCAAAAATGGGAAAAATTTTATTCAAAAATTTCGTAACATCAATTTGGCGACCCCTGGATGCTGCGCCCTGGGAACAGATCTGTCCCCTTAACTCTCCCAGTAAGCCGCTACGTTCAACCGGAAAGCGTTTACGTTTTATATCACAAAAGTTGGTAGCTTTCAGCTCATAATTATTCTAAGAACTTAGTTTCCACGCAATGTTAATACTTGTTTTATAATGAGGTAGCATTGTGATTCTGTACCCATTCTTCTTGAATATTAAAATTTTGTATGCCTTCTAGGGTTCAGTGAAGCCCACTATTGGCCATGCGGTAAGAGTGCTAGACATTGGTAGCTAGACATTGGTGGACTCCGATTAAAATCCCGGCAAATGGGGTGTCTGCATGGTGTTTATTATGAATCATGTTTATTATGTATCATGTTTATTATGCATCTTGTTTTTCCCATGTGTAACGTGAATACAAGCCAATTTCCTCTATTAAGTTTTCCACGAAGACATCTCTCAATTAATGTGCATTACCATAATCTAATAATCCAGCCCAATCCAGGTTAATGTGTGTATAAAATTTCTAAACTTCTGTATTACTGAAAACGGTAGTTTCTCAGAAACTAAATTTTTTACAAACTAACAAGTTTTAAAATTTCAGCACTGAGTTAAATGAAAAAATTTCAATATTTGAACACTAAGTTTAGTTTCTATATAATTAACAACAATAATTTCTAAGTCAGCGAAACTAATTTTAAATTACGGTACATCTCATTGTTCTATCATTTGATTCAGTTTCAGGCAAGCGGGCTGGCTGCATGGAATGATCTGCATGTATAACGTGAATCTATTTCCCTTAGAAAGCCCTCCACGAAGACATATTTTCTCTTAGTGAGCTAGGGCTCGTGTGCTTTGGCCTAGTCAAACAAACCATATCAAAACCAAACGTTCTGTTAATTTTTACCCGCCATTTCAGCTTGGCATTTAATTGGCGTACATTTTGTTAACACAACTGCATTTCTATTTCCCAAAATGCTTAGCGAATGTAGCGTTTTAAATCTGTTCCGTAAAGATTTTTATAAATATATCAGAAAAAAAATTAGGAAATTTATTAATTAGAGAAACTGAATTTAATAAAAAAAAATGTAAAACTGAAGAAAATCCATTGATAAAATTCCTTTTCTTGTAGTTGACAAATTGACTATTGCATGAATGATCAGCATTAATCTTAACTCGTAAGTATTTACTGTAAACTGCAATTCTTAAACTATTCTATTGGTATAGATCAGGGATTCCCAGTCCTTTGCCTACAAGCGGCCGAGCTGTGAAGTCGGTGAATACTGGTAGAGTTCCGGGAAAAGGGCTAGCTGTATGGGCGTTTACGTGGTTTTCTCAATGTAAAGTGTGAACCAGATAGTTTCCTTTAGAAATTCTTCCACGAAGGCATCCTCTAGGTAGATAGCCCTCGCGTGCATTGCCATAATTAATAAACCCAACCTAACCCTTTTCTTGCGTCGATCCCTTTGAAAAGAATAGTTTCTTCATCGAAGACCTTACATTTTTCTTTATAAAAAAGATGATGAACAAAAGTTTTGGGAAAAAAATAGTTTATTATATTTTTCATTTTATTATTTTTAAAAATTTTACAAGTTTACAAAAACAAAATCACAGATTCTATTTGCACAAAACCTCGATCGTAACTGATGGCTGAGCTTGATTGATGCAATATTTTTAAATATTTGACATAAAATTGCTTAATTCTTAAATAGCCTCGTTCAAAAATATTCAATTAGTTTCTTGTTTTCTGTAGTAAAATTGGAAAATATTAGAACGGAAAGCTAATGAATGACATGGCTAATAAATTTTGTTAATACATTTTTTGGTAATTAATGGGTTCTTGATTATGATTATCATTTGCCGCTACACATTCGTCTATCAACTCCCCTGATAATTATAGACCCCTTTAAAATTTCGACTCAGAGGAAGGTCAGTGCTGACTCTGCTGGGAATCCATGATATAATGCTTTATGAAATAGCTTATTTAATGGTGTCCTGTCATTATGATGCTGACAGTTTTGTACAATAATACAATCGGCTATTATTTGTAAGAGTGTTGTATATAAAAGTGACCTCATCTTTATTTGAACCACTTTCTAACTGCATGAAATAAATTTCAGTAAGGGTTCGGGTCCACCAGCGGCCGCGCGGTAAAATCTCTGAACACTGCTA